TAGTATATGGTATTTTGTAGTCAAATGTTTTACCATGAAGTTGTAGGAATGTTAGGATAAATTTTAATATCATATCGACCTCTGTTTTAGAAAAAAAAACATACACGAATGTTTCTAGATTTTCTAATAGATGTTTCAAGAATTGCAGCAATGCATAAATGATATTTAATATATACCCCTCTTAGCAATTACATCCCGCTGTATGAGAAATGAGCCCCCCCCCCCATATGACACTGCACTGTTCAAGCTCAACCACCCCTAGCACTCTGAACCACACCTCACTATATAAGGCAGTCCCAACAACTGGATTGCACTGCACACCCCCAAACACTGGACAAAATTCAAGTGTATGAGGAAAGAGCTTTCTACTGGGACATAACTTACTGTATGAAGGGCAGCGTTTGACAGTCTACTCACCTGGGTGTAAGACAGGGTATCTCTGTGAAGGTCGCAATTGCATCACCAGTCGCTTGGATGATGTCGGCTTTCGCCAAAACTTTTTGATGAAAATCCTAATAAGGTTTTGAATAACGAATTAGATGTCATTATTATATTTTATGATTTATAGTTGACAAATAATGTACATTTCAGTAATCTTAATAATATAAATGTTAATGAACATAGAAAGTGAACAATTTATATTATATCCAAGTTGGCTAATATATATTGTTTTCAGTAGCTGAACACCAATCTCTTTAGCCACTAAGTGATAATGTGCTATTGGAGACTTTTATTTATTCAAGAGATGCACATCCTGAACATAGTCCCTCAATTACTCTCCAAAGATAGTAGTCATGACAATAAAGTTACCTCGACCGGGTCTACATCTGGATCTGTGGTGGGTAGAAAGAATCTCATTTCCATGAGAGACACATCAGCATCATCATTTTGATGAAATTCTACAGTCACTTCATTTTTAGTTGTAGTACTGTGGGATACATTATTCAATGGAATATGGAATGCTGCCTTGTTATCAACTTCAAAAGACATCTCTGAGCCTGGAAGATAAACAATAGATATTACATGTATGTCATCCAGATATATGTGTTTGTGAAATTGACCAGATGCCACTTGACACTTTGGTGTCAGTCATCACATTTACTTACAACTAGACATGAAACAGAATTTACTTATTTTTAAACATCCTATGTTTACTATTGACGCATTAGAACATTTGAAGCATGGTCTAATAAAATGTTTAATTTTAAGGAATGACAGTCAACTAATGATAACAGGGAATCTATGTGTGTTTATTAAGGTGATAAGGCCAGACTTTTATTATCCCTTGTTTCGCGAACCCGCCGAATGAACAGGAGCTGAAAATGAAATAAAAATAAAATTTTATTTCAGCGTAATTTCTCTTGTAAGCGCCAAAAAATGCTTAAAAAATATTATTTTTTACCGCCCGCCGCATAACAAATCCAAGTTGCATTTTCATGGGAGTATCATGATCAAAGTACCAAAGTCTCGCGCAGATGAGAACAAGGTTATACATGGAATACAACTTTATTTCATTTCTTCTCTCTGATTAATGATCACAATTCTTCGAGAATTACACAAATCTAATGGAAATCAAAGAAAGCTTAGAAAGAACTCCCATGTGCTGAGAGTATTGGAGACACATTAAATATAATTCGAAATTACTTAGCTGAAAACTAATTATGCAAATCAGAAAATTAATATGAACAGATTTGAGTGAAAACTAATGAGGTCTGCGCAATGTAACAGAAAATCTATGTTTCCAAGTTTAATTGAAATGTGATTAGAACCAAAAAATTATGAATTATTATGCTTATTAGGGAATTAATATGAACAGATTTTTACCCC